TTTGTTCATTTTTGATAGATCACTGGCCTAATGGATCCTTGCTATAATGCAACATGTGCTGATGTTCTGACTGAATGGCTCTAAACTTTTGTAACCATGGACGGTGTTTAATCTTAGAAAAAGTGCTTAATGTAATAGAAAAAGTGTTTAATGAAAAATGCAAATTTTCCTAGGTTGGAGTTATTGATTTCTCGATGTATTTGAAAGATGGGAACAGCACAAAAGGCAGCGAAGGGTAAGTACACACACAGTTGTCCTGCTTCTCATCTCTTGGTGACTCATTTTTGGGTATCCCAGGTTGCCCTGCAAGTTGTTAACCTTTTTAATTAAAATGCTACTTAAACTGAATTGCTCTTCTATGATAGATCGCAACGTGTAAATAAGATAGGTAATATAAATACAGAAGTTTAGTGGCCTTCACCAGCAGGGTAGTGGGTTTTGGGAAACAAAAGTCTCCAATTGGGAAAGACTGAACCCAACAATGTGGACACAACGACACACAGACCAGTGTTGGGGTTTTCTGGGGGTTTTCAAGAGCACTTTGTCCTTCTGAGGAGGTCCCTCTCCTCTGAACTCGGGTATACCTTTAATCCCTATCCCCTTAATCATTTTTTCCAGAGATGGTCAGATAACCGCCATTTTGGACCAGAAGAACTATGTAGAAGAACTCAATAGACATTTAAGGTAAGATGTGATTTATTTATTCTTTATTACGTAGTATCACACGGTAGAAAACTGGCTTTTCAAAAAGAAAGCATTGCTGTAGGGTTTTTTTTTTTCCTCTCCAACAGTGCTACAGTGAACAACCTCCAGGCCAAGGTGGATGCCTTGGAAAAATCCAACACCAAACTGACCGAGGAGGTGAGTGTCACAGAAAATAATCTGATGTGTTGGCATCAGGGGTTGAAAAGGTACGGGAGGAGCTATTTTGGGATTTCTGGTGTGTGGAATGATCAGTGTTTAACAATGGAACTGGAATAACCAACCTGCCAGGGAATTACACTGGTGGCTCCTTCTGCCTAAGCATGAGGTGGAAAAAAACCCCAATGTTTGTGTTAAAAACCAAAATCTGTTGAACACACTTGATCCCTCCAAAATCTCGGAGTGCTTTCTGATTTCTGGGAAGTATCTTGGAATAAATGGTACAGTGGGTACCGTCTCAAATGCCGAGCAGCTGATGTAGGTTATGAGATGGCCAGACAGGACATGTTTCTAAATGTCTGTTTTGACAGATGCAAAAGTTTACTATGATGTAGATGCAGTAAGATAACTTGTTTCTTCAGTTTACAAGAAATAAAGCAGAAAATTATCATTATAGATAAAATGTCGTTCAGTCTGAGCATGAGAAATGGATGGTACCTGCATCAGAGCTGTAACCTGCGTTTTAAAATTGGCTCATTAGTAATGCCATAAATGGAATAAAATCTTTTGGAGTGAGTTCCCTGCCAAATGGGTGATGGTAGGTCTCACCCTAATGGTTTTACAGTCTGTCTGTGTGTCACTTAGCTCAGCAGAGTGGTTTTGACTGGGGTGGCTTGGTGCTCCTGCAGCACAAATATGAAATAGAAATTCCTTTTTGCTTGTTCCCCCTCATGAAGGGAGGTCTCTGGGTCTGGTTATTGAGCGTTGACTCCAATGGATGTGCTCCAAACGATGCAGAGCATTAGCAATGGAGATTAGTTTATCCCCTCCTGCAGTTAAGGAGTAAGAAATGTTTTTTACAATTAAAATGTTTATCTTAAAAAGGTGGTCTGCAGTAGAGGCTGCCTCTCTCAGCGCTGCTATAAGTGGCTTTTGATTTATTCCCTGCAGAGTGTGAGTGCTGTGCCCATTTAGACACAATATTAATTGCAGTGTTGGATTGAAGTGGTTTTTTTAATTTTTTACTACTTGCTTGTGCCTCAGTGAATCCTGCAGGTCGGTTCAGAGCAGGGCTTTGGGTGATGCTGTGCCAGGCTGGGCTGTCTGTGGGGCACAGTTAACAAACTGTGGCACGTGTCACATCAATTTGCACATTTGGCTTGAGCTGTGCCAAAAACTCACGCTTTTATGGGGGTACTTTCTATTTGGGTTTGTCACTTGGTAACACTGTGACCTCCTGGAATGTCACCGAGCTTTGCTCATGTGTGAGGCTTAATGCAAGTCAGGGTGTACAAAGCCAGAAGGAATTTTCAAAAATTATTTTGGCCTTTGCCCGCTCACTCTGAGTAACCTGGGAGGCTGCGGTGATGTCTTCCCTGG